TCGGTTTTATGACGTTGTGAAATTGTTGCATTTCATCATCAATTTCTGCATCTGTCACAAATGTCAGAGGCAGCTTTTATGGCAACTCACAGCAGACGAATTTGAAATGAATGTTGAAAAGACACAAGGCGTCACCACTGAATTAATAGCAATGTGCGTTTGAATTTGATTTTAAGAAAATTCTGTTGAGATAGGCTTGAATAATCGATTCTTGCAATTTCATGCCAAAGCCCATTGTGTTTTTTTGAAGATATTTAATGGAAAAGAAAAAAATATGCTTCCTAGATCTAACACATACTTAAGAAAATGTGTTTATTAAAAAAAAATGTCTCAAGAAGAAAAAAAGTTTTATTTTGTGGCACCAGTTTTTATATCGAAATTAGTATTCAAAAGCAACAAAGAAAATATTTTGATTCGTCATCCACACGAATATATTTTGATGTTATGAAATTGTTGTCTCTTATTTTATCATTGACATCATCGATCACTCATTTTATTAACGTCAAAAACAGAGTGTGGGTGTTTTTATAGCAGATTATAGCTGAAATAACTACACAAAATTGCACAAAAAATCTACAACGAATGCTGTACTCACGACGAGAAAAACTTCTTTTTTCCTCGGTAACAATTTCTTCCTCGTGTGTCTCAGTGCTTGATGCAAAATCACAACTTATTGTGAAATTCAGCAGTCTAAATGATGCGAAAATATTGAGTAGAACAAACAATAGCTGTCAAACCAATCGAACCGAATGAGAGCTCAGATCGTGAGTAAGGTTAAACCAATCGATGTGAAAGAGCGGGAGTGTGCCACTCTGAATGACATTTGCTTGTGTTGCAGTAATACAAATACGCATCGCCATTATCCTGCATTCCACCGAATTCACAAAATTACACACACACACACACAACTACGGTGCAGCCTTAAATTGTGGTATGCTGTCCACAAACAAACGTTCCTTTGTGTTGCACAAAGTTATATCGGTTCATTTGTTTTTATATTCCATCGGGATTCAGTTTGGTTTCATAATTTGTGCATACACACGCAGATACTCAACAGGCTGTGGATCTGTGTGTGATTTGTGTGAGAGGCTCTATTCACCGAAGCCGTCGGTCGATACCAGTCTGACATTTCTTTCTTATTTGATGCAGTAAATTCACATTCTAAGCCAAACTATCGTTCAATCGAGGCAAATTTCTTCACCTGAAGCCAATTCTATTTTGTTATCTGTTCTAAAGGAGTAGTATTTGTGTGGTTTATCGTAGATAACGGTTTGAAATAACAGAAAAAGTCATCAATTCAAGTGTTGAAATAGCGGATTATACTTTTTAGTTTGCACAAAGTTGTTTCTAATGAAATCATTCTCCTAAGAATCCAATTTCATATCGATTTGTGTCTCTTTTTTTTTGGTTAGATTAACCACAGCCTCGGAAAAAACTCTTTTTATACTTTCGAATGTAGTCATTGTACCCAAAATCTCTTTCGAAAACATTAACCATTCATTGTTTCCAGAGCTTCGGAGAACTCAACTCAGCGTCTGTTCCAAACGTATTCAGTGAACACCAAAATCACGTCGAATTTCATCATGGCTTCGACAACAAACAATTCGATTGTTCATTTTTGCAGCGGTTGTTCGATTGAAATGACATTGTTCGCTGACACAGCTCCAAGTACGGATGGTGATTCGGTGCCGAATTCATTTCTGACCAAATGCTTCCATGTTTTGTGCCGCAAGTGCCGGATCAAAGGTGGTCAACAATGCGCGGTTTGCAATGCGAATACTCGATACATGGCAATTTCACACCAAATGCCACAACGCTTTCGCTCTTACTTCGATCAACTGTCGCAAATGCAAACGCAAATGGAGAACCAGGCTAACTTTCAAATGTCACAGGCTCGATTGATTGGTTCAAAATTCATCGCCAAACGGGATCAGCTCAAGCAAAAGTGTGTTGAAACGAAGAAAATGGTCAACGATTCCAAGCAAAAATGCCAGCGCACACAAGATGACAAACACAAAATGGAAATCATCCTCCAAACGATTCGTGATGACAATCGGTGAGTGTCGAAATAAATGTGGATTTGTGGATTCAAGTCTATAGAGTTTACGAATCACTTGTAAGTGCGACTTTGAGTGAGAAAGAATGGTCAATTTTTGGACGGCTTTGAATGACGAAAAAACGAAAACGATTTGAGCAACTTGACTCTTTTCGAAACTTAAACAAAATAGCCTAGCTTTGTTCACGCGCTTGAGAGTCTTGTAGCGCTTTAAAACGATTGGAATTGCTTGTTTTAATTCTTGATTGAATCATTTCTATTGTGAATTTTTAAATTGTCTCTTCCAACTACAGTCGTCAAGCCGACAAACACGAACAAGATAGCCAACCGAAGCGATCGCAACGTGACCAATGGCAATTCAGCCCGAACAACACACAGTCCACCGTTCATGGTCATGATAACATGACATCCGAACAAGCCCTCTTGGACAACTTTACTGCCTTCGGTGATAAATTCACCGCTCCAGTTACTTCAGCAGCACCAGTTATGAGCTTCGGGTCGGACGACATGTTTCAATTCAAATGAACTCAGCGACGATTACCGCATCATTTATTTATGTGACAATTGTATCACACCGTATCACATACAATAAATAGTGTCATTTCAAACCAGGCTACTTTATTTACGATTATTCATCAATTTTCCGTAAATAAGACCAAAGTGAGATTAGCCTTAAACCACCAACTATTCACCAATATTTGAAGGTAAAATGGATGGAGTTCAATGCAACATGAAATTGAAAAATTAAGATAAGAAAGTTATTCTATTGTGAATGTTAAATTGAAGTAAAAGAAACATTATTGCAATTTCATGAGAATAAATTCATTGAAAAGGGTTCTTTTTCTAAAATGATTGATATACTTTACTTTTAATGATTAAAAAATTTAAAAACTTATTTAATGATGGTAGAATAATAAAGCAATGAAAAAAAAATGAGAAAAAGTTGACTGAATGAATAAAAAAAAAA